ATATCATTTCATTTATTAACTATCTTTACTTTAAACAGGTAATAATTTATTCATTTCCATCCGTTAAACCTCATAATCAAAACTCCATTATAGATAATCGCGTTATATTATAAATTAATTTTGAGATTACTTATATCTCTCGTAAAAGCGTAACGTTGAGAAACTGCGCGATGAAGAATCTCCTAAGCAGCGTAAGCGTGAGAAAATTCGACGACAGCCGAGTGTGTGCTTAATTACGATTTTCGTGGCATGATACTGCCGCGTATCTGCGTATCCGCGTGCGAGAACCATGCTCGATTGTATTTCCGGCGTGAAACTGGGCGCTGTTACGCGGTTACGTCATAGACACAGCGAACTCCTTCGTCGTGGAACCATTTCGTGAGTACTTTCGACCATTACCGTCCGTTTCTACGAGGGTAACCGCACGCCATCCGAGCGTTTATGCATCTACATGCAGGCGTGTAATATTTGTTAGCCGCTAAGGGGACAATATGAATACATTCAAGTTGGGAATTCACTTGTGACCATGTGACATTACATTACCCCGCGCGATATATGATAGCGCGCGGTCTTCGTATACATCGTAATTACGTCGCCGTAATTAAAAAAATTAAACTTTTCATTATAACAAATTATTGATTCTGAAAACGTGACGCAGCGATCATATATATTATAAATATTCGAGTATAACACTTGTAATATCGCGACGTAATACCGCTGCGAAATTCTTTACTAAGCAGAAACAAACGCGTTTTACATGACGCAGCGTCTTTCCGCGCGAACGCTCTTTGTGTCACCGTACAATATTTCAGGGCTGAATCACGCGACGCGGTGCGTTGTAAATAAGGGCTGCAGATGGCGGCGGGCAAAGACGAGGTAAGCACTTTGAACCATTCGCTCGCGCGACGATTCGATTACAACGGGGTTAGAAATGGGGCACGCGGCTCAGACTTTAAACGCTGCCTAGGTCGAGTAAACCGACGATTCGCGGTTTTCCTGATGCGCGCTATATCGAGGTGAAGTGGTACACGGAGAATAGCGACCGGAAAACGCGCACTATATTTGCGGAACAAGAGAGAGAGAGAGAGAGAGAGAGGAGAGAGCAAGAGAAAGAGGAAGACAGGTAGTCTCTACTCTCGGAATGCAGAATCTTATCGTTCCAACGTTGAACCGTCTGCGAGCGACACGTTGAATTCAGTCGGCTTTGCATTCATGTACATTGGTAACGATGCCGTCACAAATACTGTTAGAAAATTGAGCTGTGAGTTTCATGAATTCCCGACGCGTCCACAGGAAAGTTTACCAGCTCCGTAAATGGCGAGTTCTCATCGATAACGATACGTCGGGTTCGTTTCGTTGAAACGCGTTGCTGTTAACATGCTTAATATTCTTTAGTTGAACGATGTGTCATGCGGAGTGTTCGGGACGTTTCTAGGATTGCACATATCCAATTGCAACGCTTGCCGACGTGTTACCGACTTACACAATGTTGCTTTTCATTTTCATATCACGTTTCCTCCCGTCTTTTACTACGCGACAGAAAGCTTGTGCTTCGAATTAAAAACGATTGCCAGAAATGTGAACTAGCACAACCATTTTAACCATCTAATCTTGATTTCAATTTCCAATGTATAAATTTTATACACCGGGAGATGCGTCGCATCACGTACAAGTTTAAAAGAAGCCGTTTTAAGCCGGGCAATTTTACAACACTGTAAATAAAATATTGTCTCCGACGAACTCGTGTTGCTCTCGACCGGTCAGATCGTTAAATGATCATAGTGTCTTCTGTTTTATATTACATGAGATACCGGCGAGATACAATTTACATCCCTTTGGAAATTTATGCCACGCGCGCCCTATTTTAGTTTCTGATGAAACAGATGTAGCGCGAACGTAAGCGCGAATTCGCGAGATCTTCCTTTACTACGAATGAGCGTAGCGTCGCGCTGCACGTGGAAAATGTATCATGCCGAGGCATTATGTGCCGCGGGAAGTTTCGGAATGGCATTAGAAAATTTCAGCCGTCCCGCACGTAGGTTCCTCAACAAAAGTTGCGACGGTACACAGGGATGTAACCGGTAGGATTGCACGCTCAATCTTCCCTCATGCACGTTTATTCGATCGGCGCGGTCGCAAGCTTAATCTTCCCCGAGAGTTTTCTCACCGTGAAAATGGGAAGCGCGAGTAACGACGGGACATACATTACGAACCATCGTCGTCCCGCACTACATTGTACTTCATGGGAGATATTTCACATCCGCCGTATATTATCGCTAGATCGTCGCTATCACCGCCGTAGAAATAATATCATAAATCCTAGGATTCGTGAGAATTTCCCCGCGGCATTTCCTACGCGGACTGTCGAATCCTCCTCAAAAATAACTATACTGCTTTTGTAAGTCCATATCGTTATTTAGATTTCGTTGTCTCGCTATTCATATTTATTTCTTGAAAATACATATTATAAATTACTCGCACCGTATTGTATCGTCTGATGAGATTTACTTTTTTCATTACATATTGTACATTATATATTGCGTGCGCAAAAAATTTTTACTTCGTATTTATTTCATAAATAAAAATTATGATTTTGAAGGGAGAGTAGAAAAAAGAGTTTCAAGAGTTAAATTCCCTTGTTTCTCGATCGACTTGTCTTATATCTTTATTGCGAAGAACAAACAAGTGAATGAAAGGATAAATAGATACATGAATTATTTACTGTCGCCTTAATACATATTCATATACATAACATATTCAATGTCGTCGTGTCTGCGCATTTTTTTATGCGTCGCTCATGGAGTCACACGAAGAGGAAAGCTCGAAATTTCATCACGAAGTGTCGTAGCAAACCAGACTGTCGGATATTTTCGCATAAAAGCTTAGCGCATTCCGTTAAAATAATGAACGTCTTAAAAAGCAAGACGCACTTTTGCTGTTTCCATTGTCGATTCTGAGAGGGCCTCTTGTTTGCAGTTGTAACGTACCACTCTGCAGCTCTTATACCGGTTTTATTGCTCGATCTTTTATACGCCTGTAGTTTTTACGATGCCTCATATGTGGGATAGAAAGTTTTTCCAAAAGACACAAAAGGAAAGCTCTTTATAAATTAACTGCATCTTGACGAGCATCTTTTTATCAAAGTTGAGCATTTGAGCATTTTTTTTATAAATATTTCATTGCCTTTCGTTATCACTACCACAAATAATTGAAGATGATCGTTAAATCAAATTGATTTGATCAATTAACGCTTAATGCAAAATACCAAGAAATTGCTAAAAGTATCATTTTTTTATACTAATTTTTCATGTATCAATTTTTGATATTTTCTTAATTTTGAATTCTTCAATTTCAAATTTAGAAACTGGCTTCGATAAATAATTGCTTTTATGTATACTTATAATAAATGTAGTCTGTTTCTTAATATCTTTCTAGTATCTTAATATCATTCTATTATCATTTTTTTATTCGGAAAATGTTTGAAAAATGCCCGATATCCGAAAAATTATTTGAGAAATTCCGAGCTATTCGAAAAAAATAAAATTATCATATTATTTTATAGGAGATTATATACAAAAATAAGCGTTCTTTGTTTCTTTGTTGCGATTACTCAAAATGATTTTCTTTCTTTGTGAATATATTCCTTGATTATGATGTAATGATTAAGCTATCAAATGAATTTTTTGTTTAAACCGATTCTTGTGAATGCATTTGTAAAATCCACTACTGATTTTATTGTCGCGCCAGCACGTCCAATCTCGGTACGTTTGACCGAATTACCGTCGGCGATCCGTTTTAAATCTGCCCTGACAACTACAGACGTGACGGGTGATCTGATGCAACTCGAACAACAGCACCTACATGTAGCAGTGTTTCAAATAGCGCGTATACAATGCATAGAGTACGTGTGTCGAGTCGCTGAATATGCGGATTACAAAACATTGCATTTGCAATATTTTTTTTTCTTTTTTCTCTTTCTACTTTTCGAGCGCGATAATAGTTTTCAAAATTTCACTGGAGATATTTTTAATGGTATTCACATAGAAATTTAATAGTATTCACATAGAGATTTAATAGTATTCACATAGAAATTAGAATCGTTCATTTACTTTTATTATTTATTTTATATGTTCTTCTATTTTTTTTTTTTTTTGAGAATAGCATTATTGGAAATTCAATTTTAAAGCTAGATAATTTATGATAAATGACGAAAAAAATGTTTTTAAAATATAGTCTATTTAAATTTTATATTAAAATTGAGATTTATCTCTTTTATATACAGAAAGAACAGACCAACTTTGTTGGCAAGTCTAAAAATTTGGCTACAGATAAAATAATTTTGTTGAACAAAATTATTATATAGGACACTTAAATATAATAATAATAATATTACAAAAATGTTGGATCTTTTAACAATTTGTACGTTGTACATAATAATTTTGAAGGCCCTCTCTTCGTATATGTATTTATTATTTTTTATAAATATTTATACTTATATGTATATTTCTTACAGTATCTTAAAAGGAATTATAAAATTAATATTTTAATATTTTAAGTAACTTCCACTTTCTCTCCGTAGTTTTACATTACTACCTCAACATAAAGGCGCAACCATTATGTTTTCAGTCCTATTAATTATGATCTAGACTAGGAGCGCACTGTATTTCTGAAACAACCCTCTACATCACTTAGAAAGTGAGCAACTAAATCTCTCGGATATTAACGTTAATTCTAACGATATGTATGATGCAATTGTTGCGATCATTTTAATGCGATATTTTTAATTACACACGAAAATTAAAAAAGAAGAAAATGCATTATGAGAAACGAAGTTCTGTTCATCGGGCACAGAATCGTGATATGCAGAAGGAGTTGCGCCTTGTCGTCACAGCACATATTTTATACAACAATTTGGCCGTAAGTGGTAAGAACGTAAAGTTAACAAGTCGAGAGGGTTGCCACTAACAGAAACAAATGAGAAACTGGGATTCTCTGCACAGGTGGTGTGTCGCGTCGCGCGGGAACAAGAGGGATGGAAGTTGCCTTCGGGGACGAGATTTACGAGCGTCGCCGGTCGGCGCGAAAAAGTTTACATTTGCTTGTGTCTCTTCCTGCCTCTCTTTCTGTCTCTTTTCCTCTCTCTGCGGCTTGCCGGAAGTGACCAAGAGGATTGACGGCGTCGCGTGATAAAATGCAGTCAAGATAAACTGGATGTCATGAATTTTGACATTTAGTCGCGTCTCCTGGTAAGATTGCGGTTATCCTTCGATTATTTCTTATCTAGAATATGGGATTTAATCCCTTCAGAATTCTAAACGAATGATAAAACGAAAAAAGTCCAAGAGAGATATTCAAAAGACAAAAAAAGAGAATTTAAGAATTCGGAAGGACTTATCTAATTAAAAGTAAAATTTAAGTGCTCTTCTTGCGTAAACTAAATTCCTCAAAAGTGAATAAATAGCGAAGTTTTCATTCTCTCAAAACGAATTTTATTCTCACGGATTTTTATCTCAAAGATAATTATCATTGCAATAATACTAGTCATTTAATATTGAAAATTAATGCAGTGGAATGTCAAGCAATTTATTATTTTATTTTTATCATTTATTATGTTCTGTTCTTCACACAAATAATATATATAATAATAATTTCCGGTGCGCACGCGCGATTGCATAATTGATACAAATTATATTCTATTACATCGATATAGATTACTTTATATTTTGTGTAATTTTTTGCAGCTGAAAAAGCAATGAATATGCAGAGCTTGCTGTCAATGTTATATTAAAATTATATATAAAAAATAGAGCGTATCTCATTTATTTTAGATAGACCACATATTATAGAGTGAGTCGGCTCTATTATTAATGTTATAAAAACCTCAACGAGGCTGCGTCATCGACGACAATTGAAATTTCTGACAAATCGACATTCGTGTATGCGTTGCGTAAACGAGCGCGAGTATTGCGGCCGGCTGAAAAGTCCGGCCAGGAAACATTTCGCGAGAAAACTTTTTTAATTAAATGGATACTCAGCCACGCGGTAGTGCCGATCAATTTAATACACGTGGCAGACGTGGGAAAAGGGAAGGGGTGGAAAATCGTCAAGAAATTTAATTTTCGAAAGCACCGCTCGTGAAAAAAAGCGATGATGAAAGTAAGGTTCGGATAATTTCGGAAAATTTGTCCGGGGCCCGGACCGGAACGTTTTGCGCACATTGGGTCGGTCGTAATATCGAGGCCGGCGATTGCAAAGGTCGGTAGTTCGATCTTAAAGCGTAAATTGCGTTACCTTCGAGTTCGAGTGCTCGAACTCTTCGCTGCGAAATTACATTTACAGAAAATATCGGTATATTCGCGAGAAATATACGTCCGGAAGATATTAACCATCTTCTCTTGGCGCTAACAAAAGAAGGAAAAATATCAGTTATTGGCTTTACAACGAATGAAAGCGAGAATCAAAGAAAGGTACGTACAGAGTGACCTAGATAAAAATAAAAGACCACCTATAGAGGGAGAAGTAATAAAGGCGTGGATTAAAAGAAAGATAAATAGAAACAACGAAGAATTGATGAGCTACGAGAGAATTTAGGAAAATGTGAACGAAGAAAGTTCCATTGACGAGATGAATGAAGAAAAAAAGTAGACAAAAACAATAGCCGAAAGGGATTTGCGGTAAAAATGAGGCGAGAGGAATCTATAAGAAGTATTTATTCTTGAGAGAGGTATCGCGTAAAAGTCGGAAGAGAAAAAGGGATAAGAAGTGCATAAGAGGAAATAGAGAGAAGATGTGTTCCAGGAGAAACGAGGAGATCGCTCTCCGGGGATATCGAGAAAAGATAGAGGAGTCTCGGCCTAGACTTCGCGTTTCTCGTCGACTATCAAGAACCTCGACCTCTCGAGCAATCGACAGCAAACATTTCGTAAAACCCTGTTCAACCTCGCGGTTGCCGCTAGCCATCGGCGGCTGCACAAAGGAGAGTAACAAGAAACGCAAGCTCGATTTCTCGTCTGCTCTCTAGTAAAGATGTTGGCGTGAGCGAAACGTTTTCTCGTCATTTGCACTCTTTTTCTCTTTCTTTATAAAGTAACTTGAAAATAGCATTAAAATCGCAAATTTTAATAACAGATCCTAAATTCGAATCAATCTTTTTTTTATAAAAAAATGTCATCAATTGACATATTTATTAATTATAATTCTTTTTTTTATAAAAGATGTTAAATATCTTTCTAATTAAATATAAGAATAAAATTCTATTCGAGTAATATCTGCTAAATTAATTAAAGACTGTATCTCATTATCCGTTACCCTTTTTAGAAGAGCTTTTTAACATTTGGGCCATGTTTGAAATTGATTCTAAAGTGAATTCTGAGTCACAAGCCAATGCATTCGGAGACAAATTATCTATATTGAAAGTTATATATCTGTCTAAATATTCCACATCCACATTATTTTCTAAAACCAAACTATAACTTTAAATACTTTCTCAGTTAATTTCAATATTTTTTTATTTATAATTTATTAATGACAATTTTATTTACATTGAATTTAAATAAGTTTTGTATCGATCAATCCATCATAACTGATTAATTTATTCTGAGATATTCTAAATATATATTTCTATTTCGTTCCTAATATCGAACAATTATACAAATGACAAATTGGCATCAGAATTTTCTAAAATCGACGATAATTATGAGATTCTAGTTTTTTTGAATGATGACTCGAAGTCGAATTTCCCTATTTTTTAAGAAAAGAAAGGACAATTTCCGATCACTTAAAAGTTAAAAAATATAAAGGTATAAATATATACGTAATTTAGATTAATTATTACGAGATTTTTGTGTTACAATAAATACAATAAATACAAATAAAGTACTGATACATAAATATTATTATTAGTCGTAACTGTATCAGCTATTTGATGTTGTAAGCATTCAACTGGTGCAATCATGCAAAATAAATTAAATTTAGTGAGATAAATCTATGGTAAATTAATGAAACGCGATGTATTTAAAATATGTAACATATTTCATTCAAATTGATGAATTTTGTATATATGTTTTTACAGGACTTAATTTATTACTCAATTTTAATGCTATATATAAAAGGATTTATCACGCTATTTATACCATTTATATTTGTTAGTATAAAAGATTATAATATGCACTTTTTCTCAGTTTTATTTTTCATTTTTTTCTAAAAAATAGATTTAATCCGATTTTTATTCTTTCCAATATATATATATAGGCTATTACGATTGATTAATTTTTCCTTTCAATTCGTTTTATTTTAAAGATATTAATTTTACCCACATACATAGATTTTTAAAAATATTGATTAATGCACTGTGTGTATGTATGTGTGTTGTGTTTTTCTAGTTTTAATATATTACAATAATTTAAAAACTTTATTTATATTTTATATATTTTATTACGTGATGGAATAATATGAATAGTAGAACTATTCATAGAATATAAAAACGTGACTCGCGAGAATAATATTTTACTTACTTGCATGCTGGTTCACCGACAGTCTCGAAAAATAGGCAGGTACCACCGTTCATGCAAAAGTCTCCTGCTATTGGACAGGGCTGTTCCTGCCGCGGCCACGCCGCTGTCGCTGTAATCAAAAGGATTCATTGTTATATATCCATAACAGGCTCATCATGAAAGAAACATATGTAAAAGAGCAATTTTTTTTTTATAATTGTTACTATCACTGGTACAAAAAAAGAATATTTAAATAATTCAATATCAAAAAAGTTAAGAACACCTTGAAAGAATACGCGAATTACGAGTAATAAAACGTATGAAGTTCTTTGCTTGGTCATTTAGAAAGGCGAATATCGCAAGTGTGCGATACATTTTGCATTTATCTGGTGCAAAAATATTGGGAATTACTAGCGCGTTGAACGACGAAGAAAATCTCTGCAACGGATGAAGAAAATTGTTTTCTGTCGCCCGAAGCTTTGGTTTAATCATCCGGTATAACTATAGCATTTCCGTAATTGCGCATTAGCATGATAAAACAAGTATGCAAGATGGGCTACGGGGAAAAACATGTGGATTAAATGCGATAGCGCATTTAATGAAACGGGAATACGCATCACTGCTACGCGTAATTAACTACCGTGGATTGCTATGTGTGCGATGTACAATTTTAATGTTCGGAGATTTTCGCGACCGCGTCGCATATAGACATGGCCCCTGGTCGTGTACCGATTTAATTATTAATTTAATTACAACAAACATTAATTAAAATATCGTTAAACTGCATTTGCCGCTGTGTAATGCGATGCATTTTCGGTGGGCGACGCACAATACGGTGTTATTCCTTGTAATTGCGTAAAATTCTGCAAAATTACTCGACGCGTGTTGGTTACAGAAAATAATGCCAGCATATTGCATAATGAGATTTATTCATTACCGTTTACTAATACGGTCGTTTACATTACCTTTACGATGTTGTTACCAACGTTTGAATCATCACACGTCAGCGCAATTAGAATAGATTAGATTTTCTCAATCTTTTTTTTTTTTTTTTTCATATATTTATTACCGAATGTATTCTTGCGATATGATATGGTAGACATATTTTTAAAAGAGTTGCAATTTTTTAATATATGAGTAATGAACGTAATGTATTGAATTAAAAAAAAATGTATATTTTATAAACACAGCAACATGATACTTTCAATTTTTAATCATTACATAATTAGAAATTAAATTCATTTATTAGGTTAGATCGGTATTTCTGCATCAGCGAGAAAGGGATTTGATCATTAACTTAATATTTATTCGTTTTTCAATGAATGTAGCAGCTCGAAGCGGTGATAAATAAATGGAAAAATTAGGCTGGAAAAGGATTGATTCTGAATTGCGAATTTATATAAATTGGGCGTTCAAATAAAATGGGCAGAGTGCGCCGTGAATTTTAGCGACAGATATTGGAAACATCCGCGCAGGGAAATCTGTTATCTGTTATCACATATCGAGTTTATCCACAGCGACGTGTGAACGCGAATAAAAGAATTGCATCTGCTTCGGAAGTGCAAGCTGTCGACACAATCGATATCTCCCTTCTCCTGCCCGCCGCGCTACATCAAGTTGTTGCTTTCGTCGGCATTGCATTTTCGCCAGGCATTCTATTTGCTCACGCGGGTAAAACGCGTGTCGGTGCTTTGTCCTTTGCACAAGAGGAAACGATATTCGTAACAATGTTCGCGAACGCTCGAGGTGCCTCCGTGCATTTTCATATCCATCGCCTCCTCGCGGAATTAGCCTTTGGCATGCAAATGTGGTGGTCGTCGAGAACGAAGATGGAAACGATCGATTCATGAAGATCTTGCAATATCGTTTTCCCGAAGTTTTCTCGACCTCTGGTCCCCCTTTTCTCTTCTCTCGTCGCAAAACTGCAACGTCGGCAATAGTCACTGGACGACGCTGACACGTCGATCGTGCGGTTCGCTATATGCTTACAGAGGATAATTTTATTACTTGGAAAGAGAGACGGTTTGACTCGTCAGATCTCGGAACTGCTTCATCCTATAGTGCCGCGATGCACTAAAGGGAAAGAAAGGACTCGACCTAGAAGAACTGAGTTTAATGTTAGGCGAGAGCCGACTATTATTAATGATCGACTATGATTATTATCTTTCTCGAAAAATTCGAAATACATTTGTGCAAATATTTTACATTTGCACTTTACGATTGCTGCATAAGAAGACGATAGCTTTTTCTAGCGTTACTCAGAGCGTGAAATCTCGTGGCTCTTGATTATGCTACCGTAAAACATTGCGGTGTCACACTTACCGCGCCGTTACCGTTAACTCGATTGACCTCGGTAAAAAGTCCATTTTACAGAATTGGCTTCATCCGCCAGAGACGTCGCGGAAAAAGTTCTCGCTTTTCGGATTTCCGTAAGGTCCAGTCGACGAAAGTTCGCGCGACAATTTCAAGCACATATGCAGGAGGGTATATCCGTTAATTGCAAAAAAATCTTCGACTGACGAATGAATATATCATATCAAAAGTCATGCGACGAAGCTAAAACTGTCATCGATAGAAATTGAAGTGAATATTAATGCCGGTCCACAATTCTGTGCGCAGTCCTACGAGACTCTCGTCGAAGGTAGAGCAGACGCGGAATTTTCGAAAATGTTATATATTACGGATTAACAATTCTCCATTCGGTTGGTCGGACGTTACCATCACGCTCGCAATTCGAATTTCATCTGAGAGCTTCCGAAAGCATCGGACTAATGCTCCTCACCACCTCTCTGCCCTTTTTCGCGCGCGTTTCTTCTCGTTAACTCGTTAACGAGTAGAAGACATTTCGCAGCGAAAGCTCTTACCAGCTCTCCGACCAGCTGGTGCACACGGAAAAGCGTTTCATTAGGCGAAATTTCAATTTTCTCGTCGCCAATGCGCCATTGTAAATGTGTTCACGTGCATTTACGCGAGCCAATATGCTGCTCCACGCAACCCTCCGTGACGAAACTGGCACCTCGTTGTACCTGTCGTTGTAATGACACCTACTAATTTCGAATATGAGGAGATAGTTTCGCTCCTGCTTTCGGTATTGGTGAAAGATAAGCGTTAAAAAAGAGCGACTTTTGTTTTCATTTTCAATATGAGTTTCCACCAAAATAAATTTTAGGCGACAGATAATGATTATATAAATATTTTTTTTTATTATAAATATTTTTTATATATATTAATTTTTATATATATTTATTTATATTTTATAATTTAGTTATTTTTAAAAATTTTCCAAAATCCTCATTCAGTTCTTATACATTTTTATTTATAAACAAATAATAAAGATAAATTTACATAATTTACGTATGTGAAATTGCTTTAGTCAGTTTTAGTCAGTAGTAACTATTTTATGTTAACGTACAAGTAATTGGATATCAGGTACTTTCATTAATGTGTCTTCACCTCACGATAGAATATAGTTCAACATCAGCAAAGTGTTTGCGTGCAATACCAGTATATTCATCACCGTCACCGGCACTGAACGTGTTAATTCTTATCTATGTAATGTGAGTTTGTTGAACTTCTAATAATTAAACTAAAATCGCTTTTCGAAATAAACTCCTAAATCTCAAAGCACTTTTCATTATGTAATCTTTAATATTATATAAAAAAAAGAAATTCTTTCATGTAACACCTTTGTTTTATTATAATATTTATCATTGCATATATATTATCCAATCTTAAAATAAAATAGTTTACAATCATCTTCTTTTTTTTTTTGCAAACTCACGTTGCTAAAATAATAAAGAGATTTGAATTGAGAAAGAGAAATGGATTGGAAAGAGAAATGGATTTTGTTGGAATTACAGAGTTTGACGGTCGCGGGAAGAGATGTCGCGCGAAATGGAATATACCTTTTGCGATTAATTGCGTGCGAGCTTTGTTATTTATTTGTTTTCGATTACGACGTGCCCGCTCGCCGATGGATGTTAACCGTTCATAAATAAATGACGCCGGAAAATTGAATCGCCGACTGAGTTTGGTACATTCCCCTGTTCTCCGCGTTTCTCTTTCGAGACTGTATCGAGGCGCCGCGCCGGTTCAATTTCCTAACGTCATTAGTCATCGTGGCGAACCCGGGCTGTAGTCATGATCGCAAATTTACACGCGCCGCGAGCCCACGGCTTTTCGACGAGTAATTCGCGCGCAACGCGGAAATAAAACGTCACGATCTATACAACGCGCACGAGAGGGACGGGAGAGGAGGGGGAGGGGGGGATAGGGGCGCGTTCGTAATTCGGCCGTTACACCGCACGGAATTAGTTTGTAAAGATGCGATTTACAAGAACACTGACAACAACGACAAACGGGGGGAGGAGAGATTTATACCCGCGGAAAAAGAGGGAACGTGGGGGATCGAACTGCCGCCGGTATCGATTCGAAACGATAACACGCAGCTATTTGAATTCGCTTCGGTCCGCGCGACACCGCTTGAAATTCGATGAAAATTCACCGGCGATAAAACTTCTTGACGCTACGTACATGGGCGAGGGTGGTTCATCAATCCCGCAACTGCGTTGTGTTTCATCGAACGCAGCATGGTTCGTTCCGTTTCTTTCGATCTCGTAAGATCTCGTGTGTGCTGTGCGTGTCGCCTCCGTGAAAATAATTTCGAAAATTTCTCGTCTTTAGAAATCTATCGAATTGTACAGCTTAATTGAGACAAAAACAACTGCAACGATTTATGATTATAATCTCTTATGTTTTCGCTTTCAATACACAATTGTTCAAATAAAATGATTAAAGCTCAAGCTTAAGCAGACTCGATGCTGTCATCCTTCTTAGTGTCCAAGTTCCTGTAAAAATTTCTAGCGCGACTGGCGTGCGAACATATCGACGTGCTTTCAAGTTCGTCATTTCGATGGTTGCCGTTTTTGTGAATTTCCGGTTGAGCGAAAATGTTTCAGCGAGACGCCGGATCGTCAGTGCCGCCGCACTGGTTGCGCCAACAAAAGCACGGAAAACGATTTCAATTCGGAGTGTGCCTGATGCACGCGGACGATGTCATTGTTTGGACACTATTATCGTTGTTACATCCATCGGTTTTTCCAGTTACATGCCGGCAGGTGATCGAGAGGA